AAGAAGGATTTCAGAGGCTCGAAAGCTCCCAAAACCATGTCAACAAGGGATCAATTGCGTGTAGATCGAAAACAGCTGATTCGGATGCAGCACTAGAATCGGCTTTCTTCAGATAGCGCCAGCGGATAACGACAAAAGCTATGATCGGCGCTGGGACTAGACATGCTGGACTCTACAAAAAGGGAAAGATTAGAGTCCAAGTTATCTTAAATTAGGAATGTTTTTATTTTTATGCCAAAGATTGTAACAAATCGTGCTCGAGTAGGATTCATGTCTAGACCCTAGGTATAAATATCAAGCCCCGGCTATTGTAAAGGACACAATCAATCAAATACAAGTCAATTTACTTTTTTGGCTCTGGCCACCCCTTAGGAGTAGGAGTAGAGTAGATCTCGGTGAGTTCTTCAGCGAGTATGGCTGCATCGATCCGGTCGACCTCCACTGCTTGTCTGTTAGTACCGTCATGGTTTATACCTCTGTTCGTATGGCTGCATCGATCCAGTCAACCCCCACTACGACTCTGGTATAGGCTAGTTATCGACTCTTGCCTAGTTCAAGTATGGCCTATGTGATTCTGCCTCACACCCCACTGCTTGAACTAGATCAAGGTCAAGTTATCGGCTCTATCTTTGAATGGCAGTCTTTGGTAGATTCATTAAGTTACCGATATTGCTTATTGCTTTCATTGTTTATCTAATTACAGCAATATCACTTTGCCCGATTGAGATTGATCTGGATCGGCCTTATATGTTGTTTAACCCATCGTTTGCTAATCTAAAACTGATCTAATCTACGCCTTAAATGATGAGTTATGTTTTTATCGGCTGTTTTACATCAATCTCAATCGTGCATAGCGTGCGGTTAAGGCATGTTCGATCTTGAGTAGATCAATTGATTAACGAGAACCGTTTCATGGCCCGTTATCACAGCCTATGGGATTCTGCCTCTCACCCCACTGTTAGCACCGTGGAGTGGGGATCGTTGGTTGATAGATCTGTTCCTGAGAAGGCATGGCCTTAACTGTGCGCTATGCCTGAATCGGCTGTTTAGCCGATATCAAGTGCTTTCACGAATAGTTCACGTTACGAGACCGTTGAAGTAGAGATAAGTTGAAAGATATGTTAGCCCCATGATCTTGTTATTATATTACGGCCTGCATGATTCTGCCTCATGCCCCACTGATATTAGTAATGAGTTAGGGTCGTCGAGTCTATTGTTATTTCTACGGCCTGCATGATTCTGCCTCATGCCCCACTGGTTATGGCGATAGATGAGATCTAACATGTTCATTAGATTTATCTTTATTAAATGGTTAAGTGGTGTTGAATTGTTTCTTTATATAAAAGGGGTTTGGTTACTTGACATCATTGGCTCAGTTTAAACCGATCATCGTTGATATCTTATTACCTTTGATTAATTTTGCTCGAATTATATTTATCCTAAATGATAACTGATTCTTCTTACACAACCCCATGAGTTTTAACCGATTTATTCTTATGAATATGCTGGAATCGACTATTTAGTCGATTTCCTCTCATATCGGCTCTCAGAGCCGCACATTTGGGACTGTCTCGCAACACCGGCACGTTCCGCCCTTAATTACTGATAAGATTTCTCTCCTTGTCAATTGCAGGGTCAAATTGACTGGCACGTCTCGGGAGGATTGCGTAGGATCGACCACCCTTGCGCTGAAGCTAGGCGGATCTGCTCTATCGAGCGAACCCTTCCGGCTTGCTGCGTGTGTCCTCGGCACGGGAGAAAATTCTGTGTCGACACATATAAATTAAAGCCTATTACAAAACAAGGTGGTGCTTCCTAAATTCATATTTATACAATGAATTCATCATCTAGACTGGTGCCTAAAGAGTTGACATGTGCTACATATCCATCATCAACGTAGGTGTCATCAGTATCATCATCTTCATCAACTAAGCCTTCATCACATGGTTCAGGCACTGGTAGCGCATTTTCAATGACGGCTGCATCTCTAGTCACCCCTTCCAGGTCAGTCCTCCTCCAAGCTAACAAATCTTCATTTTGGCTTGAAATATTCACGGCTTCCACTCCCACCTCCAATGAGTCAATATCAAGTTGTCCCTCATTTTCAGTGTCTAGTGGTTCAGGCATGGAAAACAAATTTCTAGGCTTCATTCTTACAACAGTGCTCCACTATGATTTCTTTGCACCTTTCACATAAAAACCTGCTCAGCTTGAGTCCCTAGGATGTAAGGATCATTTAGATATCGAATACGAGTTGTATCGACATCTATAATCCCATATTGATCCCTACGGTACCCTGTGCTCTTGTTCTTACTAGGAGTAGGTACGTCGTACTAATCACACTGAAACAGTATGACTTCTTTTTCACTAGGGAAATCAAGTGTTAATATCTTTTTAATGACACCATACCACTCCATACTTGTAGAACTATCAGCACCCTTAACTGCAACCCTTGAATTTTGTGTATTCAAGGCACTCTCTACAGAAGCCGTTCAAAAAAAGAAACCGTTGATGATAGACCTATTGAAAACACAAACCCAGGGATCTGGTCCTCGAGAAAGGGCATATAGTGTATCACTAATCCCCCTTCTTCATAAAGTTCATTCATCTGCAATCGATTTGAAAACAACAAAATAAATAAAGACAATAGCTATTTTATGTAAGCATCCAGTTGACAAAGTTACTCACCTTACATTCAAACCAACCAACAAATTGCTCCCTGTGACGTCTCTCAACACCGTGTGTAGTAATCTTTTTGAGTTCCTCCTTATGCAAACTACATATGATCAAAACAAAGGTACTCAATTAGAAAAAACATTAATCATGAGGAACATTAAACACACACCAGTTGTAATTTCAACTTACTCAATCCATGGAGCAGCCTCATCATAATTTGTTATTATGTAGTGTCGCATCTGCTTCAACTCTAAACCAGGAATAGTATCAACTTTGCAACCTTTCTTACTATAGTCAATGGTCTAAAATACGCTAAGCCCAGAGGGTGATTCATTCACTGCACTAGTTTCATGATGTTCTGGGCAGTTCAGCTTCGTATCCATATCTTCTAGAAACTAAGAACAAAATGTCATGCACTCACTACAGGAAAACCGAGCATCAGTGATAAAATGTGGTGGCGAAATCTTGATTTGTCACTGATTCCCATGTTATTAGTGACAAAATTAATTTTCATCACTATTGTGTCGATTATTAGTGGCAAACTACTATATCGCCACTGGATGCACCTTCAGTGGCGAATTTAGTGACGAAACATTAATTTGTCACTAATAAATAGGTTAATTGTGACTAAATATTTGTTTCCTCACAATTTCGTCATCTATCGGTGACAAAATATTATATCACCACATGGTTCAAGGTCAGTGAGAAAATGTTGTGGCAAAATTGTATTTTGCCACTATTTACCATCTTAATTGTGACTAAACAATTTCCGCCACTATTAGTATGTTTATCTATGACAAAATTTTGCATCGCCACATGGTACCTGATTACTGAGAAATTTTTGTGGCAAAATATTCTTTTGTCACTTGTTTCCAAGTTAATTGTGAGCAAATAAATTTTCTTGTTATATAATATTTATATTCGTGATAAAAACATGTGTTCCATATGATAAATAATTAGTGGCAAATATTGTATTATCATGGGTCCCACTTGTCAGTCAAACTCCACCTTATCTTCTTCCGTTTTTGAAACAATATCTTCTTCCATTTTCTGTAGCTGCAATTACTGGACGGAGCATCTCTGGCCGCCCCCAAGCTCAGAGCTCCACCAAGCGCCGATGAGCTCGCCCATAGTCGCCGGCCGTCGATGCCCTTGCCCATGGCTGCACCGAAGCTCGCACGTGCAGCGCTTAGCAAGAGCTCCCATGGCCGCAGCCGCCTATATCGACGAGTGTCTCCGGCCGCCCCCAGCTCAATGCTTCTGCTCCGCACCGACGAGCTCGCCCATGGTCTCCGGCCATCACGCTCCCACCCGGATCCACCGAATCTCACCTCGCACTCGATGAGCTCGCCCACGGTCGCCGCCGCCAATCTCGATGAGCTCGCAAAAGGTTGGATTCGCTACGTCCCTGGTCGCGGCCATCTGCGCGCGAGGAGGAAGACGCCGAGCCACTTGCTCACGCCGTACTGTGAGCCGGGTACAGTCATCTTGTGGGCGTCAACACGGGCAGGCATGCGGGCAGCCCGCTCAGGCGTGTGGCGGGCGGCCGCGTTTGGTGGGCGGCCATAGCTCGGGCGTGTCCGTAGTGGAGCACTGGAGCTTCAGGGCCACCTGTGTAGCTAGCAGCTCGTGTGGCCAGGGGCCTAACATGGCGGCTCATCCGAGGTCATAGGATTGGATAGTAAGCACTGTTGCTCTCCAGTTTAGATTATTTGATCAATTCACCATATTTGTCTATTCGATTCTCTAGAGTTTGAATGTAGGCTAGAAGCTCAATCGCCAAATGCCTTAGTGATGTTTCAGTGGCATTGATTGGGCACTTGAACCTTGGTCATTGCATATGGGAGAGCTGGACCCCCTATGTTTTGTTACATAATACTAGTATATTATGTTGTAATTCTATAATTGAAGTACAAATTAGACCTCTATTATCTTAGGTTTTAGTGACTTTATGTACCAGTTAATTTGGTTGTGGGAACAAAAAGACACAAGTTTGTCTTGTAGGGATCCAGAACAGAAGTAAAATTAGTGAGAACGAACAAAAGCAAGCGCAAATCTGGATGGCCATAGTAATACATGAATTGACAATTTGTGGATGAATAGCTTGTTTATAATGAATATGTATTATATTACCAGGGTTTGCAAAACTGATAAGTATTAGGAAATAAAACATAGCTGAAAATGCCAGAGTGACCATGATATCCTAAATGCTTATTTGTTTGACACTACTGTGTAGTGTTTGTAAAGCAAGTGACCAAGGAGATGAAGCTACATCTCATATATATATTCCCTATAGAAATTTCAGCATGATTATCAGTTATTTGCTAGTCATCATCTATTTCTTCTTCTGATTCACTGTCTTCGTCATCTGAATCCATGTACTCACCACCTTCGCTGTCATCACTTTCAGATTCTTGTTGCTCATCTTCATCCTCAACGTCACCCTCGTAATGGAGTATCGGATTACCTTCCACAGCCACAGACATACCTTCAGCTTCTGCTTCAACTTGAGGTGTGTCCAATATACTTGTGTCATCATCTTCTATTGTATTTGGATTCGGCACAGTTATTACTTCATTTTCTTGGCAAGCTTCAGGACTGGATTTACTTGATTTAGTAGTGGCATCTTCTTCATCTGTGGGAGGAGTGTCAAAATAATCACGAGGTTTAGTCTTTACCATGACATACCATTTTGGATCTTGAGTATCATTCACATAATATACTTGCTCTGCTTGCGAAGCCAAAACATATGGCTCATCTGTTGACAGCCTGCGAGTAGTATTTATCATTATGAACCCATACTTATCTTCTTTAACTCCCCTTGTTGTATGTACATCCCACCATTCACATTTAAAAAGAACAACCTTATGAGTCCCATATAAAAGCTCCACAATATCTATCAAGACACCAAAGTAATCTTTGTTTCCAGTTCCTTCATCGCCCTTGACAAATACTCCACTGTTTTGCACTTGAAATAGGGCGTCTCTGTCCCTTGTGTTAAATCTCCATCCATTGACCATATAACTTGAGAAATGTGTCACTCTAGTATCGGGTCCTCTTGCTACATCAAACAATTCATCAGAAACAGAAGGATCTCCTTTGAAATACATAGTTGATATCTACATGAAGCACAATAGTTAATTAAGCTACCCTAAAAGAAATAATGTAATAAATACATCCTTATACTTACATGGTTCTTGAACCACTGAAAGAACTCTTTCTCATGCCGCTTGTCTACATTTTTGGTGCTCTGTGTCCTTAAATATTCCTTGTGAATGCTGTGACATAGGAGAATAGATGTTACAAAATTGGAGGTCCACAGTTCAATGAACATCTTAGGAGTGGCTTACCCTGTATATGGAGAAGCCTCTTCATAGTTCTTTAGAACGTAGGCTTGTGCTTTGTTCAATTCATTCATCTCCATCTCACAATATCTATTCCCAATAAGCCGTCTTCCAATTTTGGCAAAAATCTAGAGCTATGTGTTGCTATTGTTATCATCACTGTCATCATTACGGCTTGGCCTGTTGATTCTTGTCACAATTCCATGCAAGTACATAGAACAAAGAGTCAGACATTCCTGTAACACTACAGCCTCAGCAATTGCTCCTTCTGGATGAGCTTTGTTTTTTTACAAATGACTTTAGTCTGCGCAAGAATCTCTCGATGGGATACATCCATCGATATTGCATAGGACCACCTACCATTGCTTGTTGAGCTAAATGGATTGGTAGATGCATCATTACATCAAACATGGATGGAGAAAATGTCTTTTCTAATTTGCAAAGAGTAATAGCAATTGAAGAATCAATCCTTTAAAGGATCTCCACATCTAACACTTTTGAGCAAATTTCTCAAAAAAAGTTGCATAGCTCAATTATTGGAAGACAAATATCAGCGGGAAGCATGCCGCGAATAGATAGTGGAAGGTATCTATCTAGAAACACATGGTAATCATGGCACTTCATCCCTGATATTTTAACATTTATTGCATCTACATAATTAGATACCTTTGCAGAATAACCAGCTGGGACTTTGATTTTTGTCAAGAACTCACAAAATGCTTTCCTTTTAGGTCCAAAAAGTGTATAAGGTGCATTGTGAAATAAAATTTTTCCATCATCTGTGGGAGTCGCATGAAGTTTTGGTTGTATTCCCATGATTTCCATATCAAATCGAGAATTAATGTTATCCTTTGTCTTCCCCTCCTGTCCAAGCAAGGTACCCGCCAAACTTTCACCAACATTCTTTTCAATGTGCATGACATCTAGGTTATGTCTTAGTGTCAATTTGCTCCAATAAGGGAGTTGAAAAAATATACTCTTTTTCTTCCAAACACCATACACTGTGCTGATTTCCCAAATATAACCTGAATGGCAGCATAATGATAGCAATGTTACACCTTTGAAATTACATCAAAATATCATAACTCGTATCATATTTATTTACAAAAAGAAAGCTACATTATAGCACCCGATTTTAAGAGCAAAACCAGATGCACATCATATGTGAGCTCAGAAAGTCAAATATCACATATAGCTATAAATAAGGGTAATGTCAATAGACAATGCTCAATATATAACGTACTTAGTATAAAGGATATAACCTGAGACAACAAACAGCGGAAAGACAATTCCGATCTTCGACGAAGACTCCAATTCTACAAGGACAACTGACTGGTTGATCACAAGCCTAATTCCTCCAAACTCTAGCAATCTGGTACCCATCCATGATTTTTATCCAAATATTTGAAAAATATAAAGCAAGCGTAAGTACATGTCGTACTCAACAAATATAACATGGGGTTCATGAGGCTCAAAAGGCTGACACTGGTTTAACTACGGTTAGCTTTTAATGAGTCATGATTTTAGCAATTGAGTAGCAACAAGTTTATCCATAAGCCCATATAAACACATGATCAGGTAAACATGAATAATCAATAGCATAAATAATTAACCATTAGTGAGCATCTTCATCATCCATATCATTGGTGTTCGTCATCTATTCCGTAAGGGTTCCAAGGCTACTCGTGACCGTGAGCATGGCTGATATACCAGTTTTACACTCTGTAGAGGTTGTACACTTTTACTATGAGTCATGATTTACCCTTTCGCTCGAGGTCATGAGCCTCTTAACCCACTACCAAGGAAGGTCGGTAGGGTTCACTATGAAGCCTTTCAAAGGTTCGTCTAACAAGTTAGGGCCATTAGATTCACTCGGCAAACAGATATAGAGCCCCCCTTCCCGATGGCACAATGATGCGCCGCCTATACTCAAGGGGACAGAGGCCGCACTATACTCGATTCGTCAAGCTATTTTTATGCCAATAAAGGTAACCTCTAACAAGCTAGAAAATGTCCTCATACTAAGCTAAAGCCAGAGCCATATAGCCCTCACAGTTATACTGTAAGTCCCGGATGATCACTTACAGACAAGTCCTTAGGGAGAGGAATCTAGAGCACCATAAAAACAGCCCAATGCTCCAGCCTCCTTGTTCCATGTTACTAAAAATCATCTTTTAGTGTTTATTGCATATACCATTAGTCAAGTTACAAGATCATGGTCTTTAATTGAGCGCTAGCATCATACTACCCAATGCAATACCTCAAAGGTGTCAAGGTACAAGGTACAAAGTACTAGGAAATCCTTAGTGCTAGTGAAGGTAGACACGTGCAACATAAATTAAATGATTAAAGGTGTATAGGACAACAAGGATGATCCCATGCTATACTTGCCTTAAACACCGATCCTTCGGTAAGCTTTAATCTTCAACGTTCTTCTTCTTCTTGATCACCACGTATATCTCACCGACTGGACGAAATCATAAAGCACCACACAAGCATCCATACAATCATACACAAAGCAACAATAGAACTAAATCAGAATAGTACACCAGTCATAGAAAAATAAGTGAAAGAGTTTGAAATACGATTCTACGCATCGCTACAAACACACAATCGCAAGAAGCACTCTAATCGGAGCTACGGTGAAAAAGATACATCTATCGATAGATCTGCTTTATACATGGAAAAGAAAACTATAAGCTTAATTTATTTTAACTATATAAAATCTTATATAAATTGAATTAAATTAAATTTAGATTCGAATTATAAAACTAAAGTAAAACAAATCATATTTTATCTATAAAATCCAGTTGCATAATTATTATTCAAATTAGAGTTTAAACCATAAAATTCTAGAAATAATGATATGATAAACATTGTTACCAATGTGTGGTTTATGTTATTACGAATCCAACGCAACTTGAATGGATTAAAACGGAGTTAAAATGTAGAAGATATGAATTAAACAAGATTTCTTTTAGTAAAATAATAGATTAAATCTAACCTCGATTTTTAAAAGTTGAAAACACATCTAATAGTGATATAAACACGTAGACAACGTAAGTACGAACCTAACGCAATTTGAACAGATCAAACGGAGTTAAAACGGAGAAGTTATGGCCAAAACAAAATTAGTGAAAAAATTTGTAAATAAGTGAATATATTTTCAATCTAACCGAAACAAAGTACGCTTTCAAAAGAAGAAAATGGAATCGGAAAAGATGTTTTGGACTGCGGGTTAAGTCTCAAGTATTTATAAGGAGCTTTTTTGTAAATCTAACAGCGAAGGGGTAACTTTGATCTTAGGCCATTGGATTAGAGATGGACGGCCATGATTGGGTCAGGCGGGTGAAGGTGGCCGGCGGCGAGGTGGGTGACAGCGGTGCCATGGCCGGAGCAAGGAGAGCTCGCCGGCGACGTTAGTTCTTGACCTACGGAGCATGGTTTTTTGAACGGAAAAGTCTGGGAGAGAGGGGAGAGTGGGGAACTCAACGGACCCAAGAGAAGCGAGCGGGAACCAACAGAGGGCGGTGCGGCGCTCGACGCGCGATGGCTCTCACAGCGGCGCTTCAGGCTAGGCGGCTGTGAGCTGGCGTGGGGTGGAATCCTTGTTGCAAGGTGGGATAGAGAGGTGGCACAAGATCGGTGGCTATTTATGGGGCACGTAAACTTGGGTGGCACGGCGCATGAGTCATGGCGAGGCCGGATATGGGCGGCGTCAGCGCGAAGGACTCCGGCTTAGGTACGGCGCGGCGTTAGGCTAGGCCACTGCGGAGCGTGCGGTGCCAGAGATGGGACAGCTGAGGCTTCGGCCCGAGCAGGGAGGAGAGGAGAAGAAGGGCCACGGCCAGCTGGGCCGCCGAATGGAGCAGGCGCGAGTGGGCCAGCGGGAGGAGATGGGCCACGGTGTTGGAAAGCAAGGCCACGCGGGGAACGGCCACGCAGGCGAAAACAGGCCGCGAGCGAGGCAGGCCATCTAGGCCGAAAGCAGGGGAAAGGGAAAGAATTTCTTTGCTATTTTGTTTTCAAAACCAAATTCAATTTTGAACCATATCAAATTCAAATAGAGTTTAAAATACACTCTTTAATACAAATAAAAATGAGAAATTTTGGTATGCTCCCAAAAATAATTTTTACAACTTTTTAAACTCTTTTATTTTCAAATTTTCTTTTCTTTCTTTTCTTTTACTTCAAAGCCATTTTTAATTTCATTTGCAAAAGGCAATTTAAACCATTTTGAATTTTCAATCAAAACCACTCAATCAAATACATCAAATGCAAGGGCATGTATGCACAAACATGTTGCTAAACCTTATGATAAATTTTAATTTAATAAAAAAAATTATTTTCCTATATTTCATGAGCTCAAAATTCAGAAATAAATCATTTTAAACCTATTTTCAAAAGTGGCAAATTTTAGGGTGTTACAATAGATTTAAATCTTTTTGTATGTGTACCTGAGTAAACTTTTCATATTGTGAAAGAACTTCAGCGCCTGATAATGGTTTTGGAGCAATCTCCTTTCCCTTTGGCCATTAAAAGTAGTATTGTTCCTCCAACTATGTCTTGCTGGTAGGAATCTCCTGTGTCCCATGTAGCAACCTTTTCTTCCATTGGCTAGCCATTGGTAGCAAGCGTTAGTATGATAGGATGGACATGCATATTTTCCCTTTGTGGATATTCCTGATAAATTCCCTAAACCAGGAAAATCATTAATTGTCTAGAGCAATGCAGCTTTTAGTGTGAATTTACGCTTCGTCGAAGCATCATAGGCCTCCACCCCACCCCACAACTCAATCAGCTCATCAATTAATGGCTGTAGATATACATCAATGTCGTTGCCAGGTGCTTTAGGGCCAGGAATGAGCATTGAAGTTATCATATAAGGATCTTTCATGCACATCCAAGGAGGTAGGTTATACATCACAATAACAACGGGCCATATGCTGTATGATGTGCTCATATGTCCAAAAGGATTGAATCTATCACTAGCAATCCCAAGCCTAACACTGCGCGCATCTGATGCAAATGATGGGAATTTTTTGTCAAAATCCTTCCATTCCTTTGAATCTGCCGGGTGTCTCAAATATCCATCATCAACTAGCTCCTCTTTGTGCCAACGCATATTAGTTGCAGTTTTGGAACACATATATATCCTTTTCAATCTTGGTATCAATGGGAAATAACGCAGCACCTTCTGGGCAACCTTTCGAACTCTTCGCCTTCGTGATTTGGATGCATTGTTCTGGTAATCACTTTTCCACCTTGAAAGCTTGCACACTGGACATGACTCAGCTTTAGCATAATCACCTCTGTACAAAATGCAATCATTTGGGCATGCGTCTATACGCTTGTAATCCAATCCTCTGACATGACTTTCTTAGCATCATTGAATGACTTTGGAGCCTTATTCTTCGTAGGAAGTACCTTCCAAAACAGAGTAAATAGAGCATCCATTGCATTTCCACTCAAATCATATAGGCACTTGATGTTCATCATTTGCACAATGAATGATAGTGTAGAGAAGGTACTACATTCTGGGTAAAGCTCATTGTCTGCCTCTTCAAGAAGTCTATAAAATTTGCTAGCTTCTTCAGTAGGACCTGTAGATGCGGTCATGTCATCCTGCAAGCCAGGTGATGAACCATCAAATGATCCCAAGTTGGCATTCATAGCATTTCCAAAATCATTCACCATCTCACGCAGACCATAGTCATCATGATCTTCCATGTTGTCGTCACTGTCTTCTGAATCTGACACACTCTCTCCATGATGATCACATACTCTGTACTCTTTCCATATTCCATTCAGCATGAGATGCTCCATTATAGATATCTGATCAGCAAAGTAATTGTTTTTGTAGATTCTACAAGGACATTGAAGGAGCTTGTCCGCACTGCAGCCAGAAAATAGCTCCTTCTTCGTATTGGGGAAGCCTCCTATTGGATATGTCCATCCAACTTTTGTCCACAACCATCCTATCATTGAGGAATGAATTGTTTACAAAACTACAGTTTGTCAAGTTATTGAAGAACTTATAAAAATGACAGATAAATATAGGTTGTGTATGCAGAACAGAAGACCTAGAAAATATTCAATGGGCTATCGGTATTTGGTATGCATAACAGGTACAGGCCCATGGCTGTGCTATGGGTATGGCAATGACAATCAAGATGGAACAATCAAGCTACACAAAGGTCCTGCATCTAGCTGCTTCAAGAACAAACATGTGTACGGTCTTGAAAGGGGAGAGGCTTCAGATGGAAATAGGAATGATAGTGCGGACAACTTGTATTTTGATCAAAAGTATTACCTGACAGCAGAGGTGTTGGACATCAGCATCTCAGCTCTGCACCAATGGATCGGTGGCAAGAAGCAAATGGATCAATGGGCGGTGGCCATAGCAGTTTGGGGGTTTAAGCGGTAGCCATTGAGTATTGTGAAAAGGGTATGTGGAAAGATTGATTGTATTCCATATCAATGTACATGTATATATATACCGCTGGGATGGCAACAAGCCTACCGCACATGCTGGTATTACATCCACAATTAGTGGAGCCTACCATAACATGCTAACACTCCCCCACAGTCTAATCGGGAGCATCGCTAACAGTCAGGCTGGACCAAAACTCCTGAAACAATGAGGTAGGAAGACCCTTGGTGAAAACGTCAGCATACTGCGACGTCGTAGGAACGTGAAGAACCCGAACATGACCGAGGGTGGCCTTCTCTCGAACAAAGTGGAGATCGATCTCAACATGCTTCGTCCACTGATGCTGTACCAGATTACTGGAGAGATATACAACACTGATGTTATCATAGTAGACCAAGGTAGCACGACGAGGTGGGTGGCGAAGCTCAAGAAGGAGCTGACGTAGCCAGGTAGCTTCAGCCACACCATGTGCCACAGCACGGTATTCAGACTTGGCGCTCGACCGGGAGACCATGTGCTGACGCTTGGAGGACCAGGACACCAAGTTATCCCCAAGGAACACTGCATAGCCCGAGGTCGACCGGCGAGTGTCGGGACATCCAGCCCAGTCGGCATTCGTGTAAACAACAAGCTCTGTAGGTGGAGATCGGTGCATGGTCAATCCAAGGGACAGAGTGCCCTGCAGGTAGCATAGGATCCGCTTGAGAGCTGTGAGATGTGGCTCCCGAGGATCATGCATATAGAGGCAAATTTGTTGAACGGCAAAGGCAATGTCCAGACGAGTGAAGGTCAAATATTGTAGGGCGCCAGCCAGGCTGCGGTACTGTGTAGAGTTAGCAACGGGAGGACCATCTGCAGATAATTTGGAGTGTACATCAACAGGTGTGTTGCACGGCTTGCAGTCACTCATCCCGGTGCGCTCCAAAATATCCTGCGTGTACTACCGCTGAGAGAGGAACAGACCATCGGTAGAGCGGGTCACAGAAATCCCTAGAAAATGATGAAGCTGGCCCATGTCTATCATAGCAAACTCATGCTGGAGAGCCCCAATAATATGCTTGAGAAAACCAGCAGAGGAAGCGGTGAGAACAATGTCATCCACATATAGCAGCAAGTAAGCCATGTCGGACCCTCGGTGATATATGAAGAGCAAAGTATCTGACTTGGTTTCAACAAATCCAAGGGAAATAAGATGTGAGGCGAACCTATGATGCCAAGCACGAGGGGCTAGCTTTAGACCATATAAGGACTTGTTGAGCCGATAGACAAAATCTAGACGAGATGAATCCACAAAGCCAGAGGGCTGTACGTAGTACACTGTCTCAGTGAGAGTGCCATGTAAGAACACATTCTTCAGATCCAGCTGATGAATAGGCTAGTTCTGAGATAGAGACAGAGAGAGAACAACTCGAACTATCGTAGGCTTGACAACTGGACTGAGCGTCTCATCATAGTCCACACCTGGTCACTGGGTAAAGCCCCGGAGGACCTAGCGTGCCTTGTAGCGATCAAGAGACCCATCTGCGAGCAACTTGTGTCAATAAATCCACATGCTAGTTACGACATTGACTCCAGGAGGTCGAGGCACAAGACTCCAGGTGTCATTGGCGATCAGAGCATCATACTCAGCCTGCATAGCGGAGCGCCAATTGGGTTCTGACAGTGCATCATGAACAGAGCGTGGTAGTGGCGACATAGGCACAACGTGGAGGTTGAGGCGATCCATAGGCTGTGCGATACCGGCCTTGCCATGCGTGCGCATGGAGTGCGAATTGGTGATAGGGGCGATGGAGACCGGTCGAGTGTCAGCTGTGCGACCGGTTGCCGTGGTGCTACTAGCAGCAGCCCATGCGGGATGCACAGGGGCAGCAGCACCGGGCAGCACGTGCGATGAGGTGGAGGGGGCGCTGCTGCCAACAGCCTGTGCGGGATGTACAGGGGCAGCAGCGCCGGTCGATGGGGAGCCAGGCGTCCCCAGCGCTGGAGGGGACTTGGGTGCCTCTACAGCCCCATGCACAACGTGCGACACCGAAGTAGCGGGTGTACCTGCATGCACAAACCGAGCTCCAGAGATTGGAGCGGTGAGATCATGATTATCAATGAGGAAGTCCAAGGTGGAGGATGCCATGGGCATGGTAGACATGTCGGCGAATGGGAAGAAGGATTCATCAAAAACGACATGTCTAGAAATGAGAATGCGGTTCGACTGGAGCTCGAGACATCGATAGCCTTTGTGTTCCGAGGAGTAGCCGAGGAAGGCGCATAGAGAGGAACGAGGGGCAAGTTTGTGGGGCATTGTGGAGGACATGTTGGGGTAGCAAGCACACCCAAAAACTTTGAGATGGTCATAGGAGGGCTAGGTGGAATAGAGGTGGGCGTAGGGTGTCGAGAAGGCAAGGGTTTTGGTGGGGAGTCAGATGACAAGGTATGTGGCAGTGTGAAAAGCCTCAACCCAATAAACCAGAGGAAGACTCACCTGGAACAAAAGGGAATGCAAAATATTATTAATGGTGTGAAGAGAGCATTTGGCCTTTCCATTTTGCTGAGAAGTATATGGACATGACATGCGGAGTGCAACGCCATGGGAGAGAAAGAACGTGCGGGCCGGAGAATTGTCGAATTCACGGCCATTGTCACACTGGACGTTCTTGATGGTGGTGCCAAACTGTGTGCGAATATAAGTAAAAAAATTGGAAAGGGTGGAAAACGTCTCGGATTTTAGGCGGAGCGGAAAGGTCCAAATGTAGTGTGAACAATCATCCAAAATCACAAGATAATATTTGTAACCGGACACACTAACAATAGGGTATGTCCAAAGATCACAATGTATCAAATCGAAATTATGAAGAGCTCTAGAGCTAGATAATCCAAAAGGTAGTCGTGTGTGACGACCGAGTTGGCACGCATGACATAGATGGTTAAGATCATCTTTATTACAAGAGATAACACTGGAGCTAATAAGCTTAGACAGAGCTTCACGCCCAAGATGCCCGAGACGACGATGCCAAAGCGAAGTGGGTGCGGCGATGAATGCAAAGGTGCTGGTGGTGGGTGGATAGAACGGGTAGAGGTCACCAGAGCTATTGCACCTGGCAATCACGTGCCTGGTGTGCATATCCTTCACAAAAAGGCCAAACAGATCAAATTCAATAGAACAGTTATTATCGGTGGTGAAATGACGAATGGAAATCAAATTCTTAATAATGTTGGGAGACACCAAAACATCGTTAAGAACAAGATTACGATGCGGAAAAGAAAAAGTGTGTGATCCGGTGGTGGTGATAGGAAGAAGTGCACCATTTCCCACAATGATAGATGAAGGTGTAAAAGATGATGGCGAGGAAATGGTGGACAATTTACCAGCGTCCGCAGTCATGTGGGAACCGGCACCGGAGTCGGTGTACCATTCGGACGGTGCTGGTGGTGTGAGCGTCATGGTGTTGAAGGACTGCGCCAGGGAGTCCTGGTGCCATGAGCCTCCTTGGGCGGGGTTCTAGGGTGTCGGCGTGGGCAGCTGATAGGTCGGTGGGGGACCTTAGAACGCCGGTGGTGAGGGCGTAGCTCCCCCGTAGACGTATGGTGGGGACGGAGAGGTGTAGTTGGGCCCATAGACGCCACCGCCGGGGATGCCGCCGAAGGGGCCATCGTACTATGGAATAGCGGTGAAGGCCGGTGGCGTCGGGGCTAGTGATGGTCTCCCATAGGGCCACATCTGTAGAGTGCCTGCCCAGGGATGCGTGAAGGATGGGTGCCCACCGGGCGGCACGCTACCATGTGCGGCGGGTGGCGCGCCACCAGGCGGTGGCTGAGGGACGCCCCGCCCATCGCAGCCACGGCGGCAGCCGTTGCACTGGCCACTAGAAGGCGCGCTAGGGGGACGCACAGGAGGTGTTGGTGCCCCTTGGCGTGGTGCTGCAGGTGGCCCGGGCGCTGCTGGTCGTGCCACGACGATAAGGGCCGAGGGCGGCGAGGGTGGGCGAGCATCGATCTCCATCTCCTAAAGCAGGAGGTGTGTCCGAGCCTCCGTGAAGGTCAGGAATGGGCGGTGCATCAAGGATGGACACCATGTGGCGGAACTTGCCACTCAAGCCACGAAGAAGTGTGAGCACCTTCTGCCGATCTCCAATAGGATCACCGAACTCGGCGAGGCACACGGCCATAGACTCGAGGCGACGACAATAGTCGGTGATCATCAGGGAGTCCTGGCAGAAGTTGTGAAACTATGTCGCGAGGAGGAGGGTGTGGGACTCCTTCTGCCTGAGGAACTCGTCCTCGAGGTAGCACCAAGCCTCACGGGTGGGGCACTGCCGCATCATGAGCGACTGTTGTAAGTCGCTGGAGACAGTGTCGTAAATCCACGTCAAGACGACGCAGTCTACTTGCACCCATGCCG